CTGTAGAACAGATATTTTCAGAGGTTGTTTGCCTCCCCCGTAATTATAAATCGTAAGCAAGCGTGTATAAATTATAAATCATACATTGTTTAAAATAAGCATATTGATATTTCCCTTATAAGAAATTAAACAAATCTGTATTTTCGTATCTATTACCGATACTGCAGAAGAAATAAAGGATGCATTGACTACCATAGAAAAGCACATTTGCTGCTTTTCTAATATTCCTTAGCAGAATTTAAATAAATAATGTGCAGTGACTTAGCAGTCTACGAGTAAACCAGGAAAGGAGATGGAGATTTTCCTTTTTAAAATGCATGTACAGAGATTTAAACTCAAAAATGTGTGAACACATGTCCCCCATGCTTTAATTCTATGATAATCTGAAAATATTAATTTAGAGGAAAAACATAAAATTTTTTCTGAAAATGTCTATTAAATTTTACCATTAGGGAAGCATTCCATTTAACATTTATACTCAAACTCATTTATTTGGTCATTAAACAAAAGTCCGCTGTACAGTAAGAAAGACAGCTAATAAATCCCATAAAAGTCTATTTACTTTCTAAGTTTCAAAGTAGGTCCATTTGACTGTTAAAAGATGTTGGACACGCAAACGCTATAACAGAAAAAGATGCTGCTCTTCTAGCTAAAGCATGCCGGTTCGGAAGCAAAGATTTTAATTTCGAAAACAAAGATGACAGTTGCACAGGTACAACTTTTAGTTGATTTTAAACCCACCTGTCAGTAGCTATGTGAGGCTTATAATGCGTTGCTTAATAAGATACCCAGGATACGATCTTGCCACTAAAAATAATCACTTACACGTTATGGATTTGAATGGCTTGGTAGGTTATGCTAAAAATGAACAACAATCAACTAGGCAACTTCATGAATATCTTATGATTGCCCTGAATTTTCAACTGGCTAAATTGATTGGGTGAGGCCCGGTGGCGCAGTGGCTAGCGCATTGCGCAGCAGCACCACAGGTCCGGGATTTTTTCCTTGGGCTGGGCAAGGTCTACTCAGCCTTTTATCCCTTGATTTCCATCCCTTGGCTCGATAAAATGAGTACCAAGTTCGCTTGGGGACTAAACACTGGGGGTCCTGCGAAAAGCTGACCACTTGTGCAAGGCATATGCTAACGCACCCCGGGGCCCACGGTCAAGAAAGCAGATTTCGGGGCACCGCTGGCCATGGCCCACTAGGACTGCTGCGCCATTTAGTTTAATTGATTGGGTAGTTGATTGTTAACTGGTTCCGCGAAGTACACGAAGGCTATCCGCCTAAGTTAAAAATGCATTTGTGCATAATTTTCTAAGAGAAACTAACTCATACTCGCACTATACATGGAGAAAATATTAGAAAAACCAATATAGCCAGTGAGTTCGCAGAGAATCGAATTCAAAATTCAGCGAAGGCGCTGCTAGGCTGATGTAATTGGTTAGATCATCTTACTTTCCCAGAGAAATAGTAGATATTTTATTTTAAATATATTATGAGAGAGAATCAGAAAAGTTAGATCCAAGGACACAATTACAACAGAAACGTAAATACTCAACTCGATCAAAACCAATGTTTTACCACATTCATATCTTTAATCTATTTGTCACTGATATTTTTCATGCTCTTACCAATACTTCGTTAACTAACTAGTTTACGAGTTTGGTTAAAAACTTCTATTAATATATAACGCTTCATAGTTAATTGGCTTGGATAACGATAGCTCATTATTTTAAGAAAATAATGCAATAATACACTACATCTGAAGGAAACCATGGTAACGTCATGCAGCCAATTCCGTTAGAACTTTAATTTAGGGACAATAAATTTTGATTTTAAATAGTTTATAACAAGTAGAAATTTTTCATAATTACGTCAAAATTACGAAAGTCATGTTTATCATTATATTTTTATAGGTGTCAGTCTTATCCCTTAAATAAAATTTAGTTCCGATAAAAATCTTTTTCGAGGGATTATTTCCTTTGAAGAATATGGCCCGTTTAATTAAGCGGGAAAGCCTAATTAACTGCTGAATTCACGACATTACTTTAAAAAATATTTAGAATCATTTATGGGAAGCAAAACCTTTCAAAGCTTTATAAATTTTATTTTCTGAGGTAACATTAAAAACCTGTCTCTTTTCTAAAGCTCTACATTTTTGCCCAACAAGCACAACCTGAGACATTAAAACTGCAACACCCAAACATAGTGATATGATTTCATTATAAACTTTTGTGCAACAGACTTCTGTGCGAAAATGTTAAGTTAACGCAGTCGGATAATATTTCGGATAATCTGATGAGTGGATTACACAAAGCAATCTGGCATAAAGCGTAGAGCTCTTTAGAGGGCACCGCAAAGCAGGAAAAAAAAAAACATCCAAATGCTGACTTTTTTTTTTTTTTTTTCCATAATATGTATGTAAGTGTGTGTGCTAAAAGAAGTCTTTTTGTTTCATTTGAAGTTTAAGTATTAGTGCTATATTAGTCCAAAAGCAATAAAGGTCTACTAGTGGAATGGTCAAAGTTGCGGAACAACAGTATTTAGTTCTTGGCTGGCAGTCTACATGAAAATTTTCGGATTTTACCTAACAAGCTTTACTTCATTCCATCAACAGAGCAGCTGGTCCACTTAGGAATGGGGTTTATCACCCTGTTTAAGCCCTGCCAGTGATTCAAATTTCCTTCACTCGTCCCGAGACATCTCTTCAGGGTAAACTGTTAGAAAGGACAACGAAAGTACAATGGAAGGGATGAAGCCAGCCATGTGGGTAAAAGCATTCTTTTGATTGTTCAGATGTTAGTTGAACAGATTAAGCTAGTTTCCAAAACCAAGCATTACCTGTACTAATATATGTATCAGATATCTAAAGCTGAAGTGATTGTAAAAAATATTTAATTTAGAATAAAAATAATGGCAGCAAAATTAGTTTTAAATGCACTCCGGCAAGAAAAACTGCTGACTTCGTTTCGGGACATAAACCTAAGTAGCACACGTAACAAAAACTTTGAAAACTGGTCCGAGTGGTGGCAAAGTGGTCGCGGTAACGTCTTCTACGTCATGTGCTACTTGGGAAGCGCCATATTCCTAAGCCATTTGGTCCAATAGCGGTCGGCCAGTAAAGTCATTGAACATTGACAGTTTGATCTGGGCTCGAATTCCGGCAGAACAGCTGGCTGCAAGCATGTTTTCGTTATTTTCTCTATGAATAACATGGATACGAGCCATTTCCCCTCAGAAAATCCTCCAGAAAATCCTCCATCCCCTTAGGCAGATAGTCTTCGAGTGCTTTGTCATAATCAAATAAACCAAACCAAAACTAAGCAATTTTTTCAGAAAAATAAATATACAATTCAATGCATAGTGCGCTGAAAGCGAAGATGAAAACTTCTTATTACAGCAAAGGTAGAGGCGATTTGTTACAATCAGCTGTCTGCACAATGGCAACTCACATTCCCATAGATATAACACAATCGTGAAGTTTAAGCAACGAGTGAGGCTTGAAAGGATATTACAACTATTTTAATAATGTGAAATATAGCTAATATGATTATCAAGTTTTAATGCTTGATAATCACAAAAAAAAAAAAAAAAATAACATACAGAAATAAGACTACTTGCAGAATTCACCTCGGATAATGAGATTTAAAATGGAACCGAGAACCCAAATCTTGTGTGGGATGTAAAAGACGCTGGAATGGAACAATAAATATATCTAACTATAACAGTCAAGAAAGCCATACATCGAGAGTTTTTAACATTAGGCTTATTTGTTAAAAGTTACCAGTATTAAAGAGTAACTTGCTTTATAATTAAGAACTTACTCCACATAAAGATGGGCTGCACACATAGTTTAACTCAGATACTGATATTATTTATGAGATATAAAATCTGAATTTTCTAAAAGAAAAAAAGACAGTGGAAATGATGCAAGAAATACATTTACCTGCTACAGTGACACAACTTTTATGTCCATGTGTTCAAAGTTTCCAATATTAAAGGATATATTGTTTATTTATTTACTTATTTATTATTCTAGTATTTTCTCCTATTAAAGAATTGGCGGCATCAAACTGAAAAACATTCGTCACTATGTTGAACGCCGTACCAGTCTGCGGTCAGGCTACTAAATGCTGCTTCACAACAGAGGGATTTAACAGCTTTAGAGATTAATCCTTGGAAGAAAAATGAAATAATGAGTATTTGCAATAATGTCTCTGCCATATTGCATAATCGCTTCCTGTAATGGTAATGGATAAACTCACTGCTCATAAAATTTAACTTGGTCTGTTTTTGTCGTACCTCACCCCAATAAAATTATTATAATTCTGCTTCAAAAAATGTAGCAAGTCTTCAACAAGCTACGCAATTCTTTGTCAACTACCCAAATAATGCTTCCGAATACGTAGTTGCTTCCGCAAACACCACCAGGTTTTTGAAACTGGCAAAACAAACTTAATCTGCAGGGAACAACATTTTCTATAAATTTATAACGGCAAATCCACTATACAGAGGTCAATAACTTAAATACATCATAACAATAGAATTAAATAAATGACAAAAAACATTTTTGAATTTCATAAAATGGCATGCTCAGACAGCCTCTCACCCTTAATGTTTTGCCTAAACCGATTGGTTAGTAAGAATTTCTCAATAGCTTATTGTATCACAAATTTTATAGCTACTCATAGCCCTCACATAGAAAGAACTCTTTCATACTAGGACTCAGTTTCTTAATACCATTGTAAGAATTATTAGTTTATTCTTCCAAGATGTTCTCGAAAAACGATTTGTATTCGAATCACACTATCACTAATGGAAGTTGCAGTTTCAGTGCCGCAGAATTGCTGCCTTGACACGCCCAGCTAAGCAAAAGATGGGAAATTAGAAAGAAGCATTAAAGGGTGTATTATCTTAAAGCGGGGTTAGGGGGGCGTACCTGGATAAAGCGTCTGCGTGGGATTAGTGATATGTGGATGTGACAGAGGATTACTGACATTATGAGGGCAGCTGCCCGGGGGGCTGTACAGGCTTCTCCTGCGTGGAGGTTCTCGCAGGCATGAACACAACCAGTCAGGTCCTGGAGGTTCCTCCGAACTCTGCACCTATTAAAAAATAAGGGAAGGAGACATTTTATTTACTTTATTCCTTAAACATAATATTAATGTGCACTTACGTAATAGCGCAACCATCTTAGTTGCCAAATTTTCAGAATGCCCCAAACTCTGACAACCATGCGCAAAACTGTTCTTCAGGCAAACATGCGCATAATAATTCTTAACGGACATTGCTTCCATTTTCGCCTGCGTTCTTTCTGCTGTATTCCAAGTCTGATGTGATTTTTTAATAAACAAGTTGTGATATTTTTGTCTCACAATCAATTTTTAAGATATATGCTTGTGGGATTTGCCTACAGTGGAAAAACTGCGGTAAAACTTTTGCAGGGATACATTACTTTGCCGCAAATCGCTAAAGGGAACATTTTAATGAGTTCCTAAAGCGATCAGCACGAAATTTTCTCCCAAAGCAAAAGAAAAAATAAGTCACTTATAAGTAGGCTTTTTAACTGATTTTTAGATAAATACCTAATTAAAATGTAAAATATGTATATAATAAATAGTTTTCCGGGGTCCAAGTCACCTTCACCCTTTTACAAAATTATTAAACTGCGCCAAGGTGGTTGCGCTAAGAGTAAGTACCTATAAATGCGACTAATGCATATCCTAAAAATGAGGATACTTTTGATGATAAATTCGGGAAAGGGACCTGAAAACATTAAGGCTACCTGCTAAAAGTAGGAAAGGCATTCTAAGGGAAACTGGTTCGTATACAAGTTGCACATGAGGGGAAAAACACGATACCTCTTAGGCAGCCAGTCCGTTTGCGGGGATTCGAATCCATGTCGAACTACCAGTGTTCAGCTAATTTGTCATTCGGCCACTTAAAAATGGAACATTTTTGATGCAATAAACAGGATAAATTCAAACGGTAATCTGTTTGAATTCATCCTCATCACTGCCACGAGTATCCACTTAAAGCACAGGTTTAGCCATAAATAATCAAAATAGCACTATTTTTGGTAACTTCACTAAAATTGTAAAATTCTTAACCTTAGCCCCAAATTTTATCTTAGACTGAAATTGAAACTTTCGCAAAAATTAAAAGAAATTCGTTAAAGTGGCAGACATCGATACCTCAGTATTTTTAAAATAACGGCAGCAAACTTTACCAAACTATAAAACATTTTTTTGCACCAAACTATAAAATAAAAACACTCGTTAGAAGATTATACACAATATTTCCGTCTGTGGTGGGATATCTTAATTAATTTAATGTGCAATTCCCCCCCTCCCCACGAAAAAAAACGGGAAGCGCCTAAATATGAATATTTCATTTTCATAATCAAAACAAATACATATGTATGCGTATGTATGTAAGATAAAAATTTTTTTGAAAAGTATTAAATAATGCTTGCACATGAAAATGGTGAAATACATACAAAAATATTTCAAACTAAGAACTAAAAGAAGAAAAAATGCCACGTACAGATTACTATGGTAGCACAAAAGCAGCAGAAAGTACTCAAATAAAAAAAAAAAAAAAAAAGTGTCAGAAAATCGAGAATGAATATAAAATTAAATACAAGAAGAATTCAAAGAATCATGAAATAATAAAAGAAAAGTACATGTAGCTAAGATATTGCATCCATAATTAAAAATTACAGGGGAAATGATAAAATGTTTTACATATGAGGAAGATAATGGAAACATGCTGCATATTATTTGTTTCCATAAATAAACAATCAGAAAGTACCGTTTATATGTAAATAACATACAAATTGCACGATTTAAATAAGTTTCAATAAACACAATAGCCAACAACGAGAAATGAAGGGAACAAATAAACAGAAATTTTAACAAAAATTGAAACGAACATTAGCACCGAGATTGAATTAATTAATAATAATAAAAATGTGAATCTTATTCAAATGCTATAAAACAAATTCATTTAAATACTTCTCGAGTAATTTGCTATATGAATCAGAAGCCGAGAGGCAGATATGAAATTAATTATGCAAATGAAAGGTTAGGAATTTTGTTGCAAAAGTTCAGTTTCATTATGGAATTTTTCAAACCGTGCATTCTTCAAAATTGTAATAGGATAAACAGTTCATGAAAATGCTTTCTTTACCTTTCCGGCATTCAGACAGTAGAAGAGAAAGACCAACAATCCTTGCAGTATATTAAGTCCTAGAAAGAAGTAAGCGGTCAGAGGCTTTTCATCGTGCAGGAACAATGGCAAGAGTGTCCACGTGGAGCACAAGACTAGAAGGAGCACAGTAGCCTCTCCGCTCCATACACTGGAAAGAAGAGATAAGAAATTTTACTTTAAGATGCAATTTGCACTATTTTAAATTAGTAGTTATATTTAAAAACTACATTGACACAGACAAATGAATCACGTACATTAAAATAATATTTCAAAAATTATGTCTAAAAATGCCGTTGCATAAATTATAGAATATATCTGTCGTCAAAGAGAAAACAATATACTTATTAAAATCTTTGTTTTTCGTAGAAGTTGAATATCGAGAACTGCTGAAGTTTTATTTCATTGTTGATTAATCAAAATTTGTAATAAAATAAAATATAAAGCAATGTGAATTTATAGTATCATAACAATCAGATTAACAAAATAAAAACTTTTTTTTACAAATGCTTTAGACCTATCAATCTGTATAAATGCTATGATTGATAAGATGGCTAAACAATTTTTTTTTAAAAATCTCTAAATATATGGGTAATGTTGTATAAGTCGTACTTCCTAGGAAAAAAATAGGTATAAATCGTATGATCTATGAAAAAATAAAAATTATGTGTGGTAATAATACATTATGTTGTCGTTGCTGATATTTATTGCAATAAAATTCCATATAGTTGGATAAAATTAATAAATTTTAATCAACACGAACTTAATACGACTTAGACAACGAGTATTCTAAGTCGTACCACTTATAGCTTAAGTCGTAGTGCGTTTAAAATTGAACTGTTGTGACAAAAGTTTCTTTTTTCAACTAATTTACATAAGCAAATACAACAATGATTAGAGAGATTTTTTTTTCATTTTTTTCAACTCTAGCACATAAGTCATGTACCCATCCTTTGCATTTTAGACATTGTATTATATTCTGTTCTTGGTCTTCCTCACAAATAATACAGGGAGATGCACAGGATGTGAAACAATATGGTTGAATGGAGAAAGGGAACTTTTTTGGCGGAAGAAGCGCAATTGACGTGATATTAATACGTGAAATACTTAATATTTAAAAGGTACGACTTGCGCGACCTTACCCTATACATATGTATATGTAATATAGTCAGGAGCAGGAATTTTGATGGCGCAGAAGTGTTGATCCATAATGACTAGGAAATTGGAGGCGAAGGCAGATTAAATCTTCATATTTATTTTCAGCAACATGTTGCGGCTACACACAAGTCGTTATATATTTGCAGCAAAAAAAGAAGAAGCAGACTGCAGTCCAGTTAAGGCAAAGCGTAGAAAGAAAGTGCGTAATGTTCAGGATGAAATCTTAAGTCAAACTGAGTTAGTTTTGGTTCTCAAAGCATTTTGATTGGATAGTTTATTGCTGTAAAATTATTATTGGCTGCTTGAGGTTTAGTTCAATTTACATCACCAGAATTACGTAAGAGTCATATGACATAGATTTTTTTTCGAAATGACGCAGTGCAAATAGATGTTGTTATTTATAGACTAGAGAAGGGAAATTAATTTACGCTGCTAATTTAATCTTTTACATATTCTTTATAGTTATAATCATATATTTTCTAAAAGTAAACATGTTGGTTGTATAAAGATTGAACCCCCCCCCCGGAGTTGTATTAACTTCTGAATCACCAATAGCCTATAGACCATATCGAACATCTCCTAAAGATAATAGTGAAATTAAGAAGCAAATAGATTTTGCTATTTTAGAATACAGAAAGGAAATTAATTTACGCTGCTAATTTAATCTTTTACCTATTCTTTATTTTTTTACATATACATATATATATATATAACTTAAATAATAATAAAAATAGAAAATAATACGGTCAAAGAAATGAGAAGTTAAATCATGCGCTGAAAGTTAAAGTAATTTACTGGTAATAATTTAACATTAAATTTAATATATATTAATGTAACTCATTTAAATTATTGGAAATTATTAAAAATCACCGCATTATGTAAAATATATGTAATGTAATATGACACTCATATTTTTTATCACAAGAAATAATAGTAAGCAGTGTATAAAAAACCAGCTACATATAAGTCATCCTTACAGAAATTATGTACAGAACTAATATAAGAACAGGAAATTACAGATACTTTAGACGATAATTATAAGAATACGTTGACGATAATGATGATAGTATTTTCTATTTACTTGGTACTATTATTTGCATCAAACAGTATAAGCCAAAGTAAGCTTTATTAGCATCAATTAGTATAAGCCGATAGAAGTAATTGCATCAAACAGTATAAGCCAAATAAAGCTAGCGTCACACACACTATAAGCCGAAGTAAGCATTATTTGTATCAAACAGTACAAGCCGAAGCAAGCGCTATTTGAATCAAGCCTAAAGTAAATTAAGTAGCAACAACGTTATGGAGTAAAATATATTAACTACGATTTACAGGGCATTGCTTACGGCATAAACCCCATCGCTAAAATGTTTATTCTACGATTCTATACCAACTATTTTTTTCAACTATTCAGTATAATTTGTTGTTGAATCTGTTTTTCGAATTTCTTGCAACAACGGTTTGAAATCAATCTTTAGACATTAAATACATTCATGCTTAATCCTTAAAGCCGCCTGAAACCGCTTATGTTCTTACACAATCGTAACAGGGTATTACGTGACTATCCCATTTCTGTAACACAACTACATTGCAATTTTTAAATCGCTTTTAAATAAAAGTGCATGCGATGGTAGAATCTAGATCCACAATTAATTCTTAGGGGATAACCTGTTCACGCCCATTTCCCAAGAGAAAATTTGACAATAACAAATTGAGGGCTTTGTTTCCTCCCTTCACAGCAGGATGTTCCCTTAATTGAGAAAAGTATCCCGGGGAGAGTGACGTTTTGCTTTCTGCTAATCCTCTTCTTTTTTCATAAATAAAGATAAATTTTCACAAAGAAACAATTGCTTTATTCAGTTACTACTTTACGAAAGGCCTCCATCTGTGAAATTTATGTCCAGAGATTACATTGCAGGCTTACTGCTCACCGAATGAGAGTTTAAAATTTTCGCTTGGATAGAGACGCATAAAAGAGAGTAATCTCAGATTTTGTGATCGGTTAATCACTAAAAGGTAGCATTATATAAGTAAACTGCGCTATTTACGATTTGATCTACAATAATTTTGGAAATAGATCTAACTAAAGGAACACAATAAAAGTATGCCATACATAGAATTAAATGTTGTTCGTAGAGTACATCATGCGGAAAGATTCTTATGAAAATGGAATTTCGGACAATTAATATTATACTTAATTATAATCAATAATGAAATTAGTTCAATATATTTTCAGCTGTATGAACATATAATTAAATAGCTAAGACATTTACAGTTAATTAATTTTTATAAGTACATCATAATCTTTGACACATTTTGTACCATAATGCGAAGGTTTATCCGAATGAATACAAACACTGACTGGTAAAAAAAAAAAAAAAAAAAAAAAAAAAATCACTGTACTTCCTCTAAGAAGTACACAGTTTTATTTCTCGAACATTCATAAGGAATTTTCTTCTGTCTCACCGCGTGTCTTCGTGGTATAATTGAAAATACGGCCGGATAACAGTCGAAAGATTCGGATTTCAAGTCTCGTTGAGGAATCGCTCCTTTTTCATGTTTCCGGCTCTGATTAACATTTAACCACTCTACACACTCATTGCATTCTTTTTTCCGCGTGTCACATTACATTCTTCATCACATTTCTTTTGCTCAAATATACCGAGTTATTTTTCCATTGAATTCGGATATTTTTTATTGTAAAATAAGCGAAACTTCTCGACAATCGCATCTGAAACACTCTCGGAGCCCTTTATCCTAGTCAGTTAAACTTCTGCATAATCAGCAACTCCGGCTATTTTCTACGAACCGAAAGTTTCTACTCTCAGTGAAATGGTATCATACTTTATATTATATATTAGAACGGAACATATAAAAATCAATGAATAACCTAAATTAATGTATGTGTCCAAGAATTGCTGCTTTTAAACATCACTCCAGGTTTTGCTAATAGTATTCTGGTAGGATTTGTATTCGAAAGTCCCGTACTTCTTATGCAGCTATGAAGTACTAACATGAAACACAGGTAATAACATGAAACACACAGGTACCAGCCTCTCTACCGTTGGACATCAGTTGTATAATCCTTACATGTCCCAAGAGCTGTAGTACCCAAGGATTACTTTCGGAGTGGTTTGGTTTGGATTATTTGCAATATTAGGACTATCTGCCTAAGAGGAGTGATGCCTTCGTGGAGGACTCGTATACACTTTACACACGGGGAAACTCATGAAAAAGCCCATGCAGGCAGCTTGTTCTCTTGGATTCGAAGCCATGTCGGAACTACCAGTGTCCAGTGACTGTAACGCTTGGCCACTGTTGGACCCCCTTTCGAAAAAAAAGCTCATGACATAGTTTTGTTATGATATTTTGATGTGCAATGAATTATATGGAGTACAGTGCACTGTGTGCTTGTCTATCTGGTACTAGCTAACGCAGTTTCTTTCCGTTATGTATACATACAAAAGTCCTTCATAAGTAAAAGATTCATGAGCCTCTATTCCATGGCGATGAGACAAAGTTTCTTTAGGCTACTGTCATGATACTCGCATCAGCTGACGAACATACCGATCGGAACACCGAATTATAGCATAAAGTTTGTAGTGTTTTATTAATTTAATTTCTTGAAACCTACTAAGACTATCAAGCATATTATCGCCCCATCTGTGAAAATTACAGATGAGTCAGAAGAAGGTTTTAAATAATCTTTGTTATTTATTTAAATCTTTAAACTCAACTCATGCACCGCTTGTGCTTACACTCCGCTAGTTGCGGGATTTCAGATAACATAAATGTGAACTTAAAATCCAAAGAAATTTGTTGCTGGAGATGTACAACGCAACAACCTAACAAGTGTTGACCCTCTTTCTATTAAGTGCACGACTGATTCGGCTAGTAACAAAGCTAACTCCAGATAACTTACGTCGAAGAACTGGACAAGAAAATAATATTATGATCAGAATATAATATGAATGATGAATATAATATGAATGA